AAATATATATAATTATTAAAAAGAAAATATATATAATTATTAAAAAAAAAATATATATAATAATTAATAAGAAAATATATATAATATATTATTAAATTTATTTATATAATAAAAAGAAAAATAAGATTGTGGGATAGGGAAGCTTGTTAAAAAAAAAAAAAACTAATAGCCTTTGGCAATATCCTTGAACGTCACGTTTCAAAGTAGATAGAATTATAAAGTCAAAGGATGTTCGATAAATAAAGATAAAATAAATAAGGAAGGAAAGTAAAATAGAAAAGATAGAAAAATGTCTGTCACCTGTTCGACCGCTTTGAAGACCCGGATGAGATTCAGGCCAGCGAGTTTCTGGATATCTCTTTCTGACCAACCTCGTGCTAACAATTCTGCGAATAACTCCGGATATTTGCTCACGTCTTCGAGACCTGCTGGTGTTCTGAAACAGACAGTTCGAAATTGGCTTAGAATAGATTCGCCAAGATTGTTATATTATATTTTTAATAATCCTTTCATTCAATCTTATATCTTTAAACGATTATTAAAGGAACACGGAAATATTATATTTTCCTATAAAAATATTAACGGATAGAAAAATTTTTATTTTTTCTCTCCTCGTTCATTATTTCGGACGTTACGCTGAATTGTTTTTTTTTTTTTCATACTGTACCTTCCCTTTTTTATTATATTTTTTTTTCTTTAGTTTCGCGTATCAAAATAAGCACAGGGAGTCTTGTTTCAAAAACAGAAATAAATACTAAAACAAATCTACGTTTGTATTCGAGTCCGATCTTCTGATTCATTTCGAAAAGTAAAATATATACCTAAATATGCATACACACGTGAGAATACGAAAGATGTGTGTGCAAGAATCAAAAAAAAAAGAAAAAAGGAAAAGAAATATGTGTAACAGTACTTCAGATAAGTACTCCTATCTCAACGTTTCCAATTTACAATTAACGTTCGCTAGAAAAAAAACTACAAAAATCGAACTATCGGGTAATAACTCTTATCGATACTTGATATCTATTACACACACATATATCTAGAAACATTTGTACATAGATACAAGGGGGTGGGGGGGAAAGAAAAGAAAAATAAACAAATAAAAAGAAGAGGTAAGATAAAATGGAAAAACAAAGTGGTGGGATTCTAGTTTGACGATGATACGATGAGAGGATCTCTTGGACGTTGCAAGCGAGTTTCGATCCTCCTCATTACGGGTGTCACAGTTAGGGAAGGTTACGTTGTTAGAGAAACGGATAGGAAAGGGTTGGGTACATGGGTGGATGGTTGGGGCTACGAAAACGAGGGTTTGAGAGATCCGTTGAAAGCCAGCCGGCTGACAATGTCGATGCAGCAAGAGTGGTTAGGGACTTATTCATGGTGCATCGTGTCGTGGCTGAAACTGGCAGTTATGCGGCTCTGCACCAGCAGCACCAGAACCAGAACCAGAATCACCACCAACACCAACAGCAGCAGCAACAGCAGGAGCCATGTACATCGACTGTTTCTGCCACACGAGACTTGACTTTTCCTGAGAGTCGAATTTCGAAATTGCAATTGGACGTACGAACATCTATTGCAACTTGCATTCTTTTCTTCTTTTTTTTTTTTTCATTTTTGTTTTTGTCCTACATTTTTTTTGTTTTCTCTCTCTCTCGTTCATCGATTTCTTTTTCAACGAGTTTCTTCTTCCCCATTTTTCATTTTCTCTCGCAATCGTAAATTTATTCCTTTTTACCGACATATAGTTATAAAAGTATTCAACGAAGAAAAAGAAAGAGAGAGAGAGAGAGAGAGTAGGGGAGGAAAACGTTAATTTTTAATTCCTAAATTTTCAATTCAACCGAACCGTTTTTGTCAATTTATTTCGCGACAGGGTTAATAATAACAGACAAATAATTCATTTGGCATTGATTTACGTTTTGGAAAAATTCAAGATTCGAATAGGATATCGGTGAGAAAACATACACCGAGAGGAAAGAAAAACTTTGAATAGACCAGAATTGCATTCCATCACCATACACTTTCACACACACACTTTTTCTGCACTTTTTTTATATTTTTATCACTTCAAAGGATTCAGGAACGACAGTTCTGATAGTCAAGTTCAGAAAAATACGTTTTAAACTATTAGACGTTGATTTTCTTCGAAAAAAAGGGTACAAAAATGGAGAACTGAATTCAAAGGAAAGAGAGAGAGAGAGAGAAATTTATTTTCGTGATCGAAATGAAAGGATTTTGTTCTAAGCTTAACAACCAACGAGGAAGGTTTGTTCGTGATAACGCGTGGAACGTGTCAGCCATGGAAAGGCCATCGAGTAAATGCAGGTTAACGACCCAATTAACGCTAATCATTACAGTTATTGTGGCGAATCGGGGTTAGCATAGGGTCTACCGAAGTACTCACGTTTTAAGCGTAAGTGAGCCGAATAGGATGCGGTTGAGGCCTTTCTCTCTCTCTCTCTCTTTTTCTCTTTCTCATCCTTCCTTTCTTCCTACTACCTATGCTAATATGAATTTTAATCTCACGTAAAAGCTCATTGGCCAACCTAGTCTTCGTAATATCCACCTTTACCTCTTTTCATCCTTTTTTACACATTTTCTTTTTCTTCCTATATATTTAATTTTTTCTCTCTTTCTGTCTTTCCTTCTTTTCTCATCCTAACAGGTGACCCAATTTCCTTGTTCGAAATAATTCAGTGCATTAGCCCTTTTGTGACACTTTTCCCAAGTAAATTGTCGTCGTGTCAATGATTACAACGATCAATGAAATTTTATTTTTTTTTCAGATAATATTATTCATTGTGTAAAATATATATATATATTTTATATATTATTATTAGATTAAAATAAAATTGCACAGATAT